ATCGTGCATGCGTTTCGTACCTGGCGATGCTACCTCACGGGAGCGGATGTCACAATCCGAACCGACCACAAGTCATTACAGTACATGCGCAGCCAACCACAGCTCAACCCACGACAAATCCGGTGGCTCGACTACCTCGAAACAAATTTCCGCTACACCATCACATATAAAAAGGGCGCCAACAATATCGCCGACGCCCTGACCCGCCCATCGATACAGACCGCAGCAGTACTAATCGCCCATTCCAACCCTTTATTGGCACGATTATTCAAGCACGGTTACAGAATCGACAGATTTTTCAGGACCAATCAACACCGCGAGGTCACTAAACCGCATGGAAGTTACTACCTAAAAGTCGGTACTAACCGAGTTTGGGTACCTTCCTACCGGCCCTTACGCGAATTTCTGACGCAGGAAGTACACGACTCCAACCTCTCCGGGCATTTCGGCGCCGACAAAACATTGAAGCTGCTGCAGCGGAATTACTACTGGCCCAACATGGTGTCGGACGTGCAGCGCTACGTGTCCGCCTACCCGACCTGCCAGGCAATGAAATCATAACGACAACGCCCAGCTGGATTACTGCAGCCCCTCGAGCCACCCGAACGACCGTGGCAACAAGTGACAATGGATTTCGTCACGGGCCTCCCAGCTGGCGCAAGTGGCAACGACTCCATGCTCGTCGTCGTTGATCGCTTAACGAAAATGGCGCATTTCGCGCTCTGCTGTACCACGATCACAGCCGAAGAAACAGCACGACTCTTCATCTCGACCGTCGTACGCCTACACGGGTTACCTTCGGCGATCATCGGCGATCGCGATCCGAAATTCACGTCGAAGTTCTGGCAGGAGACATGGGCACAGTACGGTACCCGCCTGCAGTTTTCGTCGTCCTACCACCCGCAAACCGACGGACAGACAGAGAGGACAAACCAGACGATGGAGCAGCTGATTCGCACGAACTGCCCAGACATCACCAAGTGGGAGGATTTCCTTCCCATGCTCGAGTTTGCGTACAATAACGCCCCATCTGCAACGACCAAGCAGTCACCCTTCTACCTGAATTACGGGATAGACCCGGTGGTACCCTCATCAATCGACCCCCGACAACCCGGTCCCCAGGTCACAGAAATTTATTTCGGAGCTACAGGCAGCGCGCGCCAAAGCAACGGACTTTATCTGGAAAGCGAATTCGAACGCCAGCCGCTACGCTGACCAACATCGACGCCATTTACCTTTTCGCAGGGATCTTTCCGCGTCATTCGGATGCTGACACCGGTCACTGCGAAACTTCTCCTCCCGGACGACTGGCATATCCATGATGCTTTCCACGTCAGTTTACTTCGCCACTACGTGGCACCCCAGTCATCCGACAGTCGTTCGACCCCACCAGACGCTCAGTGTCCGACCGGTGGCAGATCCCACACTCCAACCTTGGAAGATCTTGAATCATCGCATTCGTGCGACCCCCGCTAGATGCCACGTCGATTTTCTCCTGCGCTGGGTGGATCGCACGAGCGACGACGACACGTGGGTCCCGGCTGACTCACTACATGGGCACTCGGTACTTCGGCAATATCTTTCTCGCCGACAGGTGCCTGATATTGACCACCTTTCTTGAAGGGGGGGTAGTGTAAGGAATTTTCGCTAATTCCTTACTGAGGCACCTCTTATGCGTACAATCCCAACTTTCGTAATTCAGGCTCGGTCCGTCGACCTCGCCTCCCGAACGTCTTCCGCGTCGCCTTCAGGTTTTCCAACCCCAAACCTACATCCAACCTTAGCGCGACTCCGCGACCTCGGCTTAGCTAGCTATGTTATATTATGCTTAGGCCCCGTTGTTTGCTTAGTAGTTGTAATCATTTCCGCGATATTGCATTCTGCACACTCTTTTCATACAACTCATAACAGGGTGCCTAGTTTGATAAGAACCACTTTTTGAGCCAGAGATGTTTCGCGATCAGCAACCATGCGAACAGAATTTAGGAGGTGGTCGCAACTGGGGTTTCTGTCGCACGAAATCGATGCTGCTGGATGGGTTTGTGAAGGGAAGATCCTCCCACAACCAATGTCCCTTGGGCGACTGAACAGCTGATGCGTGCACGGCCTTCCCCAAGTCAGAGCAAGATGTACTGTACTAGTGTTACTGAATAGAAGCTGCCAAGTTGAGTTGTTTGTAGTACAGTAGGCACATTTTCCAGCCGTGAAAGGGTAGTTCGAACTCCTCGATTCTATCTCAGATCCTTTATTTGTGAGAATGTTGATCACAGCCTCAGTATTGAACACTTCTATCATTTGTCGCCACTTTACAAGTTCGGTCGCTTCCCGCTTTTATGACTCATAAAACTGGGGTGTCTGATTCAATTACTCGAATAATGAGAACGGCCAGGGAAGTCATCCAACGCAGCCTCCCGCCGCAATATTTATCGTTTGCTACGGTTGAAGACGCCGCTCACCGCCACGGTGGTCCTTTTCTGAGGAACCGGGGCTCGAAAGGTGTCGTTTTCTCATTTGGACTGGACAACGTCAATGAACTGTACTGCAAGGATTGCCGTCATCTGAACGGTCTGTCGGCATGTAAAACAGTCCAGCTTGTGCAGCAAGTGCTGCAGCAGATTGGGGGACACGGGCAAGTGACTGATTCAAGAAGGAAGGTTGCACTTTTGGACTCGATCGAGATTAGGCGATCGATCGCCTCAGATCGTCCGATCGGGTCGGTTCGTACCAGATTGCATGAGATTGCCCCAATCTTAGGCAATCTGTCGATTGCGTCCCAGCCGCGCGATCAGAGGATGAATCTCGGGGAAGTAGATGAGAATCAGCCGCGAGGGCTCTGTGCAATTCACTCGTTCCTTCCCTGCAGAGTTGGCGACACCTGGCGAAGTTTCGGATCGCGCAATTACAGCGTAGCCCCTTTTGGGGGGCAGGTGCGTCTGGAAAGACTGATATCGCGATATCCAATGGTGCTGCTAAATTTTTCGGCAGGTAGGGCTACTGTTCGCAACTGTCGCCAAACCCCGCGATCTGAGGCAATATGTCGATTGCAAACGATCGCAAGAGATTGCGTCAGATTGTGACGATCGATCGCGATCGATTGGCTTTCCGATCGCAATCGACAGATTGCCCCCGATTGCATGCAATTGCCTTAAAATACCTCTGCGGCTTCTTGGAAATGGTTTATTGCCTCAATCTGACGCAATCGCACTCAGTTCGGGCCGATCTGCACCGCGTCCGAAGTCAAGAACCCCATCAAGAAGGTTTGTGGTGGGGTGGCTAGTGTATACCCGCCGATTTTGTTGATTTCGTTACACGTAAGTGGAGGAAACACAACCGTCGGGCAGACGAAGCCAGAGTTGTTCAAAATTGTTCATAATTGTTGAACTGAACGCAAACACGGTCACGGGGCATGAATCAGTCAGTGCTTGACGGAACTAATGTGGACTAGGGCGTTTGTCCTAATCATCCGAGAGGGCAAACGCAGACGGAGACGGAACCGCTTGTGGCAGAAGGCAGCGCGCAGACGTGGATCTGCCACGAATCCCGTCAACTTCCCAGCGGCATTCTTCAGGGTTCCAGAATCCATGGCTGCTCCGCTGCGTTTTGCCCAGCTTCACGACAGTAACAAAGATAGACTCGTATGAGGTTTTTGGAAGCAGCAGGAAATGTTTGGTGGGTTGCAGCAGGACGGGCAGTGCTGCTGCAGTGGTCTTCAGCAATATGAGGAGGAACCCCCAAACCGATGGCCACATTCAGCAGCAGCACTGGTGATTGCTCGTGACTCGTCGTGACTCCGATTTGCATTGCGACGTAGTGTCTTTGTTCGGGTTTACAACTCCTCTGCTTCTAGAGCGCAAAGCGAACACTGCTTCTAGATTGGAGAGTGGTTGCACTGGTGGATCTCCTTCGGTTCGGTCTTCAGCACCCAGTCACGCCAACGTAGTCTTTTGTTGAGAAGGAAAGCAGTTTCCTTGAGCAGTTAACATTCGACAGTCATCTCAGCTCCGTCGCGGACGACGAATCGTCAGATTGCAGCAACGCAGCCATAGCTGGCTTCTCCCGATTTCCTCGGCTCCTTCGCCTTACCTATTGCAAGCAATAATCGGCCCAGTCAGGCACAGATTGGCAGCAGTCTGCTCTTGCGGGACCTGATTATCAGACGAGGCTAACATCCATCGTCGCTTCCTGAACTCGAGTCGACTGATTGGTAGTCTGACTATAATCCACTCATTGTCAGTGGTGCTAGAAACGCCACTGGAAGCGCTACCGCAGAACCACACAGCACAGCAGGGCACCGCATCGCATCTCGCATCGCGCCAGTCACGAAATACTTCAAGCCTGCATATTTCGCACCTGACCAGATTCCACAACCACAGAAAAGTTTTTGTGCTGTGCCTTGACCGGCATCAGGGTTCGTCCCGTCCAGTTCCGTGCTGGGCGATAGCCACTGCCGCCGAGTCGATTTTTCGCCAGAAATTGGGTGACGGGCTCAGTCGCTCATGCGTCCGACCTTCATAAGAAACGTCATTTTTTCCGCGACAAACATTTTCGAATATTCTCCTTGACATTTCTCGACCTGACGCGTGCGAAGTCAGCGGTAACAACCCGCTTGAAACACCGACCACTACCAGCGGCTGTGTGTGATTTTCCTCGTCAGATAACGAGGTTCCCCCGTTGCCGCCATGAATCTTCCGCCGACTCTCCGCGAGCTAGCAGCAATGGTACCTCCCGCACCCTTCGCCCAAGTCCTCGCGCCAAACGCGGCGCTCGGGCAGTTCTTCTACGGGTTTGCGGCTCCGCCGGCCGCGCCGTCACCCTCGCCGTCGCCGGCGTCGGCGGGCGCAGCGCCATTGCGGGCTGCAGCAGCATCGATCCCAGCGCTGTCAACATTCCCCTCATCATTCGCCATGGCTTTAAACGACATGGCGATCCTGAATCGAGCGGGCTTATCCGGGGCGCCGCCGGCGACAATTTCGCAAATGTCGTTCGACGCGATTCCGCAGATGACACCCGAATTGATTTGTCAGATACACATCCTCGCGAGGAGCCAAGGCGCGCCGAGTTTCCCGCAAGGCGGAGGCGCGGACGCCCGCTCCGATCGATGCGGCGAGCGGGGGAATGGCGGAAGTGGAGGCATCGCCGCTGCGGCGACGAGCGGAGCAGTAGCAGCAGCGACAGTGGCGAATAACCAGCTGTCGAGCGCTTTTGCCTGCCGCGATGGCTCACTGGGGACCCTCCCGTTTCCGTTCTTGGAGAGGGAATCGGCAGTTGGTTCTACGGCCACTATCACTATACGCGGAATCGTTGATCAGCCGCCGCGTTCCGATTATCTGTTGCAAACTCAACATCCGTCCGCGCCATTCAAGTCGTCCGCGCCGTTGGATCTAACCGGGCAGTCCATTCCGTCGTTTGCGCCGCCCGCTCACTTCGCGGCATCCCGAGGGCCTTCCGCCTTCCAGCAACACTCATGCGGAATCCCGCCGCTCGCTGTGGCGGAAACAGATCGACCCGTAGCGCGTCAGCCCTTAACGCGTCGCCCATCGGCGAACGGTGCTACATTGGCCGAAATTGCGAGTTCCCGGAGGGGAATTAAGAGAACCAGCGGCGCAGGTGCTGATTCGGCGGCGTATAACAACGCGAGCGCGGTAGTACCTGCGACTGTCACTGCCCCCGCCTCTGCCGCTCGCCGCCGCGGGAGCAGCGGCCCCGTCACGGGCGACGGCGCAAGCTCTGGTGGAAGCTCCAGCGGAGACGGCGATAGCCCCCGGGCGGGGGAAGAACCCGCGGAAGCAGCGGAAACGACGGCGCCCGCGGCGGCAGCGGACGCGACGGCGGCGGCAACGGCGGCGGCGATGGCGGCGTGGGAGCAGCACCAGTGGTCGCGCGGACTAGCGGAGTTGGTGAGCGCGGACGGGCACCGGTGGCTCAAGTACGGCGCCAAGAAGCTCAGCACCAAGAACGGCGGGCAGCGCAGGGCGTACTACCGTTGCGCGGCCAGCTCCCCCCACCACCGCACAGCAGGGTCCTCCCCATGCCCCGCGCGCAAGGTGGTAAACTCGCACCCTCTGCGCCCCTTCGACCTGAGCGCTGTGACTGTGGAGTATGTGTCCGAGCACAACCACCCTGTGGAGAGAGAGCGCTTGGTTCTGCGTGACTATAAAGGCCGGCGGGTTCCGCGCGCTGGGAACGATGGGGCTGCTGCTGGTGAAGATGGGGTGATTGTGGAGAGTGCTGATGTCAGCCCGGCCATTGCTGCTGATGGCGAAGCCTGGACTGCCGCAGTTGCTGCTGCTGCTGCTGCTGCTGCTGCTGCAGTCGATGACAGAGGTGTGTCGCATGATGATTTTCCTTTTGAGGAGGACACTCCCCAGCTCAGAGATTTTATGGGTGTGGGTGGCAAGGAGTCTAGCCAAGGAATGTGCGTGAAAGGTGCAGCGGAGCACGATATTTCTCGCAGCAACAGTAGTGTTACAGAACATTGTGTGGAGCCTGTGGAGCAGCCTTTATTGAGGACTGGTGCAGCAGACAGGGGGAGTGAGGGTGTTGATGGTCAAGTGGATGTGGAACTGCATCTAGCCTGCACGTATGGCAGTGCAGAGCAACGAATCAACCTGTTTGCTGGGGAGGGGGTTGAGGGTTGCCAAACAGGTTTCAAAGGAATGAGGTTCAGTGAGGGTGGCTGCTACACTGGAGTTTTTGGAATGGGTGCAGTTGCATGAAGGTTCCGCAAAGCATGCACAAAATTCTGGCTTTATCTTGATCAGTGTTCATGCTTGAGTCATGTGTGTTTTCTTGTTTTCGTTTCTAGATATTGAGTTGCTTCATCTATGATGGCATGCATAGGCTTGCAATGGTTGTTGGCATAATGCATTTTGCTGAGTTGTACAGCAACCTCACTTCCGAACTAGGTCGCCTAGAGGTGAGCAAACCACGCAGACTGTTATGAGTTGTAAAAGAGAGTGCGCAGGTAAACGAATTACGAGGCTGTGACTAAAATCAACTGCGAATACAAGGAAATGATTTTTTTTCGAAAGTGTGTAACACTTTCTAAAAATGTGTATTGTGATAGCGCAGCTGCCAGTAACGAAGCAAAGCAACGGCGAATTACAATTCGCCGAGTACATAACGAGAGTTGGAGGCCATTCGGCTGTCAAATGTTGTAGCCTGTAGTGAGGTTTGTCTTAGGGGGTACAGAAGTTAGGGTTTGTTATACGGTATGTACCCCAACCAACATCAATGGAACATTCATTCCTCATTCTGACATGGTATCAGCTAGGTTAGGATCCTGTGGGATCCCGTTCCTCCGTTCTCCGTTCGTACCTCCCGAGCCTGATCCTACCTCTCGTTCGTACCAGTTCCGTTGTTACCACGCCTAGTACCGAGCCTAGCGCCCTTTCCCCCGTCGCTTAGCGCCCTTTCTCCCCGTCGCCTCGCGCCCTTTCCCCCCCCCCCCCCGTCGCGTCGCGCCCTTTCCCCCCGTCGCGTCACGCCCTTTCCCCCCGTCGCGTCGCGCCCGTTCCCCCCGTCGCGTCGTGCCCGCCTGTTCCCCCCCCGTCCCGTCGCCCTGTCCCGTCGCGTCACCCTACCCCGTCGCGTCGCCCTGCCCCGTCCCGTCGCCCTGCCCCGTCGCGCCGCCCTGCCCCGTCGCGTCGCCCTGTGCCGTCGCGTCGCCCTGCCCCGTCGCGTCGCTCCCGCCCTTTCCCCCGTCGCGTCGCCCTGCCCTACGCCCTGGCCCGTCGCCCTACCCTAGGCCCTGGCCCGTCGCCCTACCCTAGGCCCTGGCCCGTCGCCCTCCCTAAGCCCTGGCCCGTCGCCCTACCCTAAGCCCTGGCCAGTCGCCCTACCCTAGGCCCTGGCCCGTCGCCCTACCCTAGGCTCTGGCCCGTTGCCCTCCCTAAGCCCTGGCCCGTCGCCCTACCCTAGGCCCTGGCCCGTTGCCCTACCCTACGTCCTGGCCCGTCGCCCTAGCCCGCTCTTCCGCTGCAACTGAGTCCTCTTCCCCCCCGGTTGTTACTCGCCTGTTCGTTCGCTTTAGTTCTCACTATGGCGACTCCGCGAGTTCTTCGTTTCGACGCTGACGGTAGACCCCTTGACTTTTCCGTCTGGCTTCTTCGCGCTCGCCGTCTGTTAGAGAGTCAGGTCCAGGGGGGCGAGACCCTCTGGTCACACGCTATTGGTGACCTCCCCGAGCCCCCCGAGCCTACAGCTTTAGGCCCTGCTCCTGACGACGCTGCTACGGCTCGCTTTGCCCGTCAGCGCGCTGACCGGACGGCTTGGACGTCGCGTGACGCTGCGGCCTGCATCGCACTCAGCAGCCTCCTCCCTGAGTCCGAGGAGGTCCACTTTACTCAGGTTCGCACCGCTGCTGCGTACCTCACTGCGATTAAGGCCCGCTACTCTACTCCCGCTACTGTCTCTCTTGGCCGTCTTTTCCTCCCGTTCCTGTTTCCTGATCTTGCCTCGTTTGAGCGCTCTGCTGACTTGATCGCTCACCTCCGCTCGCTCGACGCTAGTTACCGCGCTGCTTGCACTGAGGCACAGCTTGCACTGCTTCCTCCCCCCATGGCGATCACTGTCTATTTCATCGCCACTAGCCTCCCTGACCGCCTTGCCTCCGTTCGTGACGCGCTTCTGCTGAAGCACCCTAGTGAGCTGACTATCGAGGTCCTTGAGTCTGCACTCAAGGACGTCGAGAGCAACCTTCGTTCGGTAGCTGCCGCCTCTGGTACTGTGTCCCCCCCACTCTTCCACGGGTGCACAGTCCCGCAGTTACCCACCTTCACTGCCTCTCTTGCCACTGCCGCTACTGACGCGACTGCGGCTGCTGTTACGACTGCGTCGCGGTCCCGCGGCAGGGGGGGCAAGAAAGGTGGTTCTGGTGGAGGTGGAGGCGGAGGTAGCGGAGGTAGTGGGGGTGCTGTTGCGACTGGGGGTGGTGGGAGTGCAGCGTCTGGAGAGACCCCTGGTGCAGCGGCTGGTGACTCCACTGCACCTGCTGGTGGCGGCGACCCCCAAGCTCGTCAGTCGCCTCCTGTACTGCCGGCCCCGCTAGGTGGAGCAGCGGCGTGGTACCAGGCTCAGCGTCAGCAGCACCTTCAGCAGCAGCAGCAGCCCCTTTCCTCCCAGCAGCCTCAGCAGCAGCAGCGTCAGCAGCTGGCTCCGGGGTCGGGGCTGCGTCAGCCCCAGCGCGGTGCGGCTTACCCTCCCTGCCCCTACCAGGTTCAGACAGGTCCTCGTCGGGGCCACCCTTGTGGCCGCTTTCACCCCTCTGGTCAGTGCTTTGCTCAGCTCACTGACACGGTCCGGTTGACCTACGGGGTTGGCGGTCCTGCTCCTGACTGGCTTCCTCTGGTTCAGCGCTACGGCTCCGCTGTGTGGGGCATGTCTGCTGAGCAGTTAGTTGATCTGATTAGTGCTCCTCATGCTATGTATGCTGTTGTTGACTCTAGTGTTTCTGACTCTGTTTACTCTGGTGTTGTTAGCTTAGGTGCTAGTCTTGCTCAGTTGCGTGTTGCTAGTGTAGGTACTTGTGTAGACTCTAGACCAGCGACTACCTCAGAGGACGCTTCGCTGTCGTTCACACTGGACTCTGGAGCCTCCCACTGCTTCTTCCGGGACAGCACGACACTTACACCACTTCCTGCGCGTGTTTCTGTAGCGTTGGCTGATCCCACTACGGGACCAGTCACTGCACGTCACACTACCACTTTACCGTGTCCTGCTGCTCCCTCCGGGTCTCTCACTGGGTTTCACGTCCCCTCGTTCTCCCGGAACTTGGTGGGCGTGCGACCCCTCGTGAGTCAGCACGTGGGTGTGTGGTTTGAGCCTTCTGGAGAGACTGCGGTGTGTGTTGACGGAGACTCTTACCAGCCTCTTGCTACCTTTACTGCTGAGCCGGGCTCGGGTCTCTACACTCTTCACACTGGCCCGCGTGCGCCGCAGCAGCAGCCGCAGCAGCAGCAGCAGCCGCAGCAGCAGCAGCAGCAGCAGCAGCAGCAGCAGCAGCAGCAGGAGCAGCAGCAGCAGCAGCAGCAGCAGCAGCAGCAGCAGCAGCACCAGCGGCCGCACCAGCAGCCCTACCTACTGCCACTGCCCCCGGTTCCCCCCCCCGTTCGGGTCCCCGCGTCTCACCAGGTTGCTTCGTCCCCCCAGGTGTCTGTGTCATGTCAGGTTCCTACGTCTATTCCAGTCGCTGCGTCGTGCTCCTGCCGGTCGCTTGCCCACCCCACCATTCTGTGGCACCACCGGATGGGGCACCCGTCCCTTCCTCGTCTGCGCGCTATGTCTAGTCAGCGTCTTGTCCTAGGCCTCCCACGTGTCTTGCCGTCGCTGCCGCCTTCGCTTGCGCCGCCGTGTCGTCCCTGCGTCGAGGGTAGGCTGCGCGCCACCCCTCACTCCTCCTCCCTTCGTCCGGCCACCGAGCCTTTTGAGACGCTTCACTTGGACGTCTGGGGCCCCGCCCCTCGTCTAGGCCCTGAGCGTGAGCGTTACTTTCTGGTGGTCGTTGACGACTTCTCCCGCTACACCACAGTGTTCCCTCTGGCGAAGAAGTCTGAGGTGACTTCTACGCTGATCAGGTGGTTGCTCACCACCGAGGACACTCGTGGTCGTCGTGTCAGCTGTCTCCACTCCAACCGTGGGGGTGAGTTTCGCTCCGGCATTCTCGCTGGATTCTGTCGCGAGCAGGGCATTCGTCAGTCCTGGACGCTTCCAGAGTCCCCACAGCAGAATGGGGTTGCTGAGCGCCGCATAGGCCTGGTCATGGAGATCGCCCGCACCTCCCTGACTCACGCCTGTGCCCCCCATTTTCTGTGGCCCTACGCGGTCAGGTACGCCGCGCACCAGCTGAACCTCTGGCCACGTGTCTCTCGACCAGAGGTTTCACCGACCAATCTTTGGACAGGGTCCCGTGGTGTTGCGTCGCGGTTTCGTGTCTGGGGGTGCTTGGCTCTTGTCCGCGACACCTCCGCGGACAAGCTCTCGCCTCGTGCCGTCCCCTGTGTCTTCCTTGGTTTCCCTGAGGACTCCTCTGACTTCACCTTTTACCACCCTCCCTCTCACCGGTTCTTTGACTCCCGTGACGTCCGTTCCGAGGAGTCCACTCTGTACTACGTCAGGTACCCCAGTCGAGGTCTCCTGTTTCCTCCTCCCCCCCTCTTCTTGACTGCCGCTCCCCCTCCTGCTCCCCCGGTACAGCCTCCCCCCCCTGGCCCAGCCCCGTCAGGTGTGTCCCAGGCTACCCCTCCTCCTTCGGTAGCCCCTCCGGTACAGCCTCCCTCCCCACAGTCCTCCTCGCAGCGTGCCGCTGGTGCTAGCTCTCGAGAGGTTGGTGATGCGCCTGTTCCAGTACCGGTTTCTGGTTCTGGGGGTGCTGGAGTTGGAGCTGGTGTTGGAGCTGGAGGTGGAGCTGGAGTAGGCACTGGAGTCTCTGGTTCTGGGGGTGCTGGAGTTGGAGCTGGAGTTTCTGGCTCTGGAGTTGGAGCTGACCCGGTGGGTGCAGAGGACTCTTGTCGTCCGGGAGCTGGTGCTGGCCGCGCGGACACTGGGGGTGCTCCCTCTGGGGGTGAGGGTGCGCCTCCTTCGGGTTCTTGTGAGCCTGGGTCTGGAGCTGGTGTTAGTGCTGCCTCTGGGGGTGGTGCGCCTGGTTCTTCGGGGGTTGACTCTGGAGCTGCCGCTGCTTCGGACACTACTCCGCCCCCCCACCCCTACCCGACTAGGC